CCCCCCCCCCCCAACAAAGGCCAGTGATAGGCAGCCCATCGGCCAAACTCCCTGCCCTTATTTCAAACTCAGGGAAACCCCTGGAGGCTCAGGAGAAGACGACATTTGGGGATGCATTTCACCCTGTTGGGTTTCTCCCCAGCTCCCCCTCCCTCCTGCCCTCCTCCTCCTCACCGGCCAATTTGCCATCATCCAGGTATTCCACGGAAAAGGTCTTGCCAAACCCAGGGACTCTGATTTGGACTCCAGGGGCGTTGGTTATGCTCCGGGTGGTTTTGTTGTACATCACTCTGTACCCCGCAAGGGCAGATCAAGAGAAAACACAACCATTATCTTAGGTCTACTTCCAACAAAGGGCATCTTATCGGAGAGCTTTAAGGGGCTGGATATCCCACTCGAGGTCACTAGCAGCTTGGATCTAAAAACTCCAAGCCTCGATCCTTTAGACCGACTGTCCAGGTTGAGGCCTCAAATGGTGTGGACTGGAGGCCTCCTGTGTTTGTGGTCTCTGCCAACAGGCCCTGGAAATGAAAGCTCCCAGTGAGCCACCAAATGCCGCTGTGGGGCATCCGGAGTCTCCCTTCTGTCAGAATCTGCCACCCACCAGTAGGAATCGGCTGAGAGGGCATGGGGGTGATTGGGGGCTGCCAGGGAGGGAGACGCCTGCTGCATTGGGCAATCCATAGGCCACGCTTGCCTAGCTATCCTGAAACAAGGGTTTCCTGTTTTTTCAGGGATGCTAAAGCCACGATTAAAGCTAACCCCGAAACAACAGGAGGAGTTGTGGGCTTGCACCGTGACGCCCTTCTCAATGCCTGCCGGGACTGGCCCTCTTCTAAGGCAGCCCTGAACTCAGCCGGCCTAACAGTGGATGAGGTGGGCCCCCCAAGCCAGCCTGGGCATCCCAAGTGAAAGCAACAGGAGTCCATCAGGATCAGGGCCGCAGACAGAGACCAGGCAGGCTCTAATAACACAATCGGCAATTCTTTGAGGTTCACTGAAGGGTCTGGGGCGGTGGGGGAAGATGTTCCCAGAATAAATTAATACTGAGAGGTCCTATTGGAAAGTTGTGGGGTCATATTTTCACTCAGAGCTGTGGTAAAACGAACGAGAAGCACTCAGCAACTGCAATGCCCCAAAATGCTCTGCTTGGTTTAGGACTTAGCATGCTCTTGAATCAGTCACTGTTCATAAATCATGGTTTATAGTTTAGCAGAGCTTGTGCAAGTCACTCACTATGTTGTATAAAACAAACAATGGCTAAGCACACTATCTTGTGGGTTGGGGAGAGGCTCAACTTGCTGATCATTGCGTCTTTGGGGTCTCCTCTCCCTCTGCGTCACCCCCTCTTCTCCTCAGTCTGGGGGCACTTTAGGGCCTGAGCCAGCAAGGACCCCCATCCCAACAGGCAGAGGAGAGGCCAAGATGTGGGGGGGGGGGCTCCCTCACAGACATACCTTGTGTTGTCGATCCAACAGTCCCCTCCAAAAGGCAGGAACATGTTGAGGTTCAGCCAGATGGTAAAATAATCATCAGTCTTGCGATAACACATCCAGTTCACCACATCTGGCTTGTCCAACTTAGCCTCCAGCTGATTCCCGAGGAACCCGGGCACTGCAGGGGCAGAGAAAGAGAGAGCAGCTGCCTTCCCATCTCCCAACCAAATGGATAAAATGGTTCCTGGCTGCCCTCCTCCTGCACCTGCCTTCTCTACCTGGGCCCTCCCCTTCTTCTGGCTGCAACCAGGTCTTGAAGGGAAGGGGCAGGTTCAGCATTTCCTCAACCTCATTCCTGGTCCTGTCAAGTCACAACTGCAACAAGAAAGCAAGTGCTGGGGAAAGACGAGAGTTTTGCAGACCTGAGAAGAATGCAGAGCAAGGCAGCCAAAGCGAAGACAAGGGAGTCGGCCCGAGGGGACCCGTAACGAAGCCCTGCTGGCCAAGGAGAGGAAAGAAGGCGGGGAGACTGTATGGCCTGCATGGCGCTCCTTTCTTCCCAGTCACCCTTTTATCACCTGTACAGCACAGCATGTACAACAAGCCTGTTTGTGACTGCATGTCCTGCTGGCGTGTCTGCAATTAGTGAAAGGTTTGTTTGTTAGCAGAAATCCTCCGCATGCTGTGTCTACCTTTAAGCAATTCATCGGGCAAGGGGTGAAGTGCTGCTTTCATTAACAGAGTGGCACAGGATTTCAGAAGCAGCGACAGTCAGTCCCCACTTCTGGTCTGCCATCGCCAGGTGGCAGCAGAGTTTTCTGCATTTTGCTGCCATCCATGCCCTAAACAACCAGCAGGCAGTCAGGCTAGAATTGCTGAGTCCCAAATGCCCGAGGAAAACCCAGCTTGGCTTGGTGCTGAGATGCCAACCAAGCTGGGTGCTGGGCCAACGTCCTGCCACCATTTTCTGGATGCAAGAGACCCCCTTCTACCAACCAAGAGCAGGGACAGCCTGACCTCCAGGTGGCCTTTATCCTCAGGCAGGGACATGGTCCAGGGAGGCCTTGAACACCTGGCCTAAACTGTGAAAACCTTTAATACCTTTACTAAGATCTCCACCTTAGGTCAAGAAGACTAAGGGCAGCAGAGCAATTCCTTTAAAACTGGGGGTGGAATATAACGAATCGCCAGAGGTTGTGCAACAGGTAGGAAGAAAGGAGGAGAAAGAGAGAAACAGAGATTTCACAATTAGGTTGTGGTGTCTTCAAAATATGTCTGTTTCAGCTTTGAGCTGTGATCTTCTCTAATATGAGAAGAAACGGTTTATCACTCTTTACTTTACTATCTAAAAAACTCTTTACTTTACTATCTAAAAAACAGAGAAAAGTAACATAGTACTACAAGTCCAATGAAGCGGAAGAGGAGGGTAGAGAAACAAAATAGAAAACTATGAGAATGCTAAAATTGTTACGAAATGCAAGAGATCCTTCCAGAATCTCAATGAATTCTCCTCCAAGAAAGAACCCAGCTCGGGGCTTGGGCGCCATTCTGGCTCTTCCTCCAAGGCGTTAGGTAACCCTGTCCCAAAAGGCATGGCGGAGATTGGAGGTCCCCAAGCAAGGCTTACAGACTGTGCCCAAGCCCCCCCTTGCAGGAAAAGTCAACAAGGCCAGAAAGGACAGTCCAAAGAAAGGAGGAAAGCAAGTGGGGGGGGGCACTCTTCCAAGGGAAGGGAGTCAAACAGAGGCACACGTCCCAGGGTGGCAGAGAGGAGCAAGTCCGGGGAGCTGTCTTGAGCAAGGCCTTGGTGCTGGGTTGGGTGCCAGAGCCTCTGGCTGCTGGAAGCTGCTCTATCAACTCCCTGTTTATCACCATATCTGGACATCAATGGGGGCCCGGCTGGCTTGCAAGACACTGTGGAAGATCTTCAGATCACACTATAGCTTCCATGCAAATCTTCCTTCCTTCCAGCATTCAGTGAGACCAGATAAATTTTATTTATTTTTCATTACGTTTGCTCTCTGCTTGGAAAGAACCTGACTGAAAACACACTTTCCAAAATGTATCAGGGCATTTGCAGCCAGGCCCCAAAACAAGAGGATTTCCATTGCTGCAAACACTCTGTGCCAACATCCTACTTGGATTCCAGGCAGGCTTCCCTCTTTGCACAGAGGGAGGAGAACTCCAGGGCTGGGCTGGAGAAGAGAAGTCCAGAATTACGAAGATCGGAGAGGGTCCTCCTCCAGCCCAGTCCTGGAGTTCCCTTCTGCATGTGGAGGGGAGCTGCAGGTCCTCAGAACCACTGAACGTTCGTTACCTTTCAAAGATCCTGGAGCACCAGGGAACGGCCAGAGGACTGGTGTGGTTCCCCTCTTCAAAAAAAAGGAGGGGGGATCCAGGGAACTACAGGCCTATCAGCCTGACCTCCATATCTAGGAAGATTCTGGAAAGATACTCAAGCAATGAATCAGAAAACACCTAGAGGCAAACAAAGTCATAACCAAAAGCCAACATGGGTTTGTCAAAACTTGATCATGCCAGATAAATCTTATTGTATTCTTTGACGACATGACAAAATTACTGGACCAAAAGAATGCTGTGGATATAATTTACTTGGACTTCAGTAAGGCATTTGATAAAGTAGAGCACAAAATACTACATGATGAAATAGAAAAAAAATGTGGGTTAGACAGCATCACCACCAGAAGGGGTGACATAATAGCAGCCTTCCAATATCTCCGGGGCTGCCCCAAAGAAAAGGGAGTCAAACTATGCTCCAGAGACAAGAAGCCATGGGTGGAAAGGAAACAAGGTCACTTAGATTCATTGGAACTAAGGAGGAATTTCCTGTCAGGGAGAACAATTAACCAGTGGAACAATTTGCCTCCAAAAGTTGTGAATGCTCCAATACTGGAAGTTTTTAAGAAGAGGTTGGACACTTATTTGCCTGAAACGGTATCGGGTACCATGCCTGAGTAGACGGCCTCCCTTCCAACTTGGTTCTTCTCTTCTGTTCTTTCCTTCGGCAGGCAGCTCTTCCGCTCAAGCCGCCTAACGCCTGTGCGGTTGCTTAACGCTTAACGACTGCAATGAGGAGAGCCAGGATTGTGGCTGTTCAGCAAAGCAATCATAGGGGCATCTTGCTTAACAACCACAATGACGCCAAACTAAATTCTGCACTCAATTGGTCTTAAGCCAATCTAGATTGCATTTGCATCTCCTCGCAACTGGGGGGGGGGGGGGGGGATTCTACCGGTTCAGGCGAACCGGATGTTAATTTTACATCCAGTGCAGCAAACCGGTAGTTCTGAAGAACATCTGGCCCCGCCCACTCCTCCCCGCCCCTCCCAGGAGTCCCCACGAGGCCACTTAGCTGGCTCCCAGATAAGTGTAGGGTAGCCTCCTGGGAGCAAAAACAGAGCTGGGGGGGGGGTCTGCCCCTCCCCTGCTTTTGCTCCCAGGAGGCTCCAGGGAGGCTCCCGTTTTGGGCCTAGGCGGCTTCCCTGCAGCCTCCTGGGAGCATCCAGCCACCCAGTACGCCTGGATTCAGTGCTTAGCCAAAAGAACATTTGGAGCTAATGCAGTATTGATTCCTGCCTTGGGAATGTTCTGGGTAAACAAATGTAAAACTGTTGGAGCCAATGTTCTTTCTTTATTCCACATCCTCCCCTTCAAAACAAGTAAGTTCCTCTGCTTTTTCATGCCAGGCTTAGTGTGGCAAGTTCAGAGTGGATTTTGTAGAGAACACCTTTCCTTTAGGTCTCATTCATCTGCTCAATTTCAGAGCATACATGACACAATTTCCCAAGCAGAATTCAGACTATTCAGCGGTTTGCCTAGCGGCTGCTTCATTACTTCTATTGCTGTCACAACCTTTATGGAGTCCAATGGCCTTTTAAATTTGACCAGCAAAAACACAGTAAATATTTCTCACAAATATTTTCCCTCCTCCACTTTGCGGTTCGACATTTAACATAAAAAATTATGTGCTGGGTTATTATTCAGGCAATTTGCAAACTTGTGTTTTTTGTTGTTGGAAGGCAACTCTTTAATTTGAAGATGGTGGTAAATACTTGGTAATAAAATGGCAGGTAAAAAGGCTCACTTCTACTTGCCATTTAGAAAGGGTTAGAAAGAATGAGAAGGTTAACTTTTGCTTTGTTTCCAATCTCCTTTTCTTGACTTGGTCTTCATAAAAAGCAGCTTTGGAATTGAAGCCATATGTGTTAAAACAAAAATCTTCCTGTTTAAGTACAAGTATGCAAAAAGTTTCAAGATCAATCAAAGTTGTTTAATGGCTTTAAATATCTGGGTGTTGTACTAAGGTTTAAGTCAAAGGTTTTCAAACTTGGCAACTTTAAGACTTGTAGACTTCAACTCCCAGGGAGTTGAAGTCCACAAGTCTTAAAGTTGCCAAGTTTGGGACCCCTGGTTTAAGTAGAAAGAGCTGAAAATATACCATGAATAGCATAGAGATGCATGGTAGCTCTCTTTCTCTTTCTTTCTCTTAAAAGGAAGAAGAAAAAGAAAGAGGGAAAGATGGGAGAAAGAAAGAAAGGGAGGAAAGGGAGAAAGAGTGGAAAAGGGAGAGGAAGGAAGGACCACAAACCCTGGCACTAGACACCGCTTCAGAGGATGCTTTAAAACAGCACAGTAATCCAGGGCTGGAAGGGACCTCAGAGGTCATCTAGTCCAAGAGCATTATAAAGTGAGTTTCTATCTTTTGACCCACCCAGTCATGTGACCACCAAGCCATGCCCAGCCAGCAAGCCAGTCACACGACCACCAAGCCACACCCACAAATTAGGCTGTGCCCACAGAACCAGTTGTTAAGAGATTTGAATTCCACCCTGCCTTGCAGTCATTTTCCTTCCCTTATTATTCCTAAACTCAACTTAGACTTTGGACTCCGCCAACTCAGTCTTCCCTTGCCCCCTTTACCAATTTTCTCAACCTTCCTTATGCTTTTAAATGTATATTAACTACTTCCCCGTGGGGAAGTGTTCACAGGCCGCTGTTGCAACCACATTTTTCAAAGCAGAGTATTTACGAATGCATCTTATTCCATTCTGGGTTAGCGATCGTTTTTTTCTGGGACTCTCGCCCCTTCTTGTTCCTCAGCAGAAGAGGATTTGGGCCTTTGAAGAAAGGAGGAGCAGTCTCAGCTCCTGCTTCTCCTCCGCCTCTGTTCTCCTCCGGGAAAGAACAGTCTGCTAGCTAAAGGTCCTCGGCCATCTGGGAGAAGAACTCGGAGCAGCTGCTTCTTAGGAATTCCTAACCGGTTTAAGTCTAAATCAGTTGAAAGATACTCAGGAGGAGCAAACTGCAAGGTACCTGCTTAAAAGGGGTGGCTGTGCGGTTGGTAAAGTTCGCTTCCAGATCGGATTTGACTTTACTCTGCGTTTTAATGAGCCACCGCAGCATGGAGACCATGGGAGGCTGTGGATGGAAGGAGAGCCAGGCCTCCCTCCCCCTCCACACCCAGCAGGCAAACGGGACGCTCCTCCCGGTCTTTCGGACGTGCCGGCCCTTTGGGAGCTTCTGAGCCGTGGCGCTGCTGCTGCTGCTGCTGCCTGATGCTACCCGCCCAAAGCCGTGCAGCCTTGCTCTCCCTCCCGCAGCCCGGCCGGGGGCTCAGGGGACGCGCTCCGAGCAGCGCCTCTCGGGCCGGAGCTCCCCTCGAGGCCTCCCCGAGGTCAAGAGGGCTTATTCGGAGGCCGGGGAAGAGGCGCTGCCAATTATCCGCCGGAGCAGCAGGAGGCGATGGGGTTGCCTGTCCGCTTCGCCTCCGACGTCCTGGGAAAGGCCGTCAACCAAAGGCCGGGCCCTTCTGCCGTCGGGCGGATCTCGCAGCGGCACGCCGTCTCTTCGCCGGCTCTTGCGGGGACCGCGTGGTCGAGAGCCCGCTCTGGGCTCAGCCCTTCCGCCTCCTGCAGGGGAACCTTAGCCGCAGCCACCTTAGCTCCAGCTACCCAGCCCTTCTCGGTCCTTGGGAAGAAGCCAGCGGCCCCTCCCTGGCCACCCGACCGTCCCCAACGCCTCCGGGGCTCCCCGCTCCCTGCCCGGCCCAACTCACCCAGCACCACGGGGGACGTCCCGTTGGCGGAGTCGGCTTCTGGGGTGGTGCTGGGCGGGAAGAGTATGTTGAGGAGCCAGAAGGCCCGGCCAGGCTGCAGGAGCGCCAGGAGCAGGAGGGCAGCGCTGCGTCCGGCCAGGCCCCGCATCCTGGCTTGCCGAGAAGCCTCTGCGGCCCGCCCAGCCCGGGCTGGCGAAGGCCGCTCCGCTCTCCCCTCGCGGACAGTTGGGGAAGGGGAGGAGCGGAAGGTGGGACCCCAGCCGCCCAGGCAGAGCGGCCGGCGGGCTGGAGGGGGCCCCGGGGGGAGGGGAGGGGCCTTTCCGACGAAGAAGGCCGGCTGCCTCCGGAGCTCCCTCCGGGGACCACGCAAGGCGCGCGGCGGGAGACCTCGGCCGCTAATGGGCAGAGGAGTCCGAGGCCGGGAGCGAAGGACCCGCAAGCAGCTGCCCGGTAGACTCCTTTGGAAGGCTTGGAGAGCCGGGCCTCCTCCTGACCTTTCCCGGTGTGCTTATTCTGATGCTTGGGCCGAGGCCTTTCTGCCTCGGGAAAGGAAGCAAAGCCAAAGGCTGGGATACCAAGGGACGCCCTCCTTTCTTCAGCTGCCGCTGGAGAACAGCCTTCCCGGGAGCACCTGGAGGCCTCGTGGCCACCTCTGGATAAACAGGCAATTGGTTACGCATAAAGCAGCACAGAAGTCAAACTTTTGTTTAAAGGGGACCCAAGATTGTCTCAATCATCATTTCATTATGATATTTCCACTTTCGGTGCTGTGTGATAACAATGGGCTCAAGGATGAACTGCTGGCCTGGCATTTCTAGCCCCAGGCACGAATGCCTGGCTGCCCTCCCTCCAAGCAGAGCTCGGACCTTAGAGCCTGAAAGCTGCTGGAATGAATCCCCTCAGCTGGCTCATCTGGCACAACCAGCGGAGCAGATCCAGCCACTGCCAAACGCAGCACAATCTCCCACACAGGGTTGTTTCAAGGGCACCTTCCTTGCTGAGTGAATGAGGCAGAATTTCAGACATGCTTCAGATTTCTATCACTTCTTGTGAACTGAACATTTGTCATTATAAATGGGCAATCCCTTGCCTGGGAAATAAACTGACTAGAACAAGGGTCTTCAAACTTGGCAAGTTTAAGACTTGTGGACTTCAACTCCCACAATTCCTGAGCTAACAGGACTGGGGGAGGAATTCTGGGAGTTGAAGTCCACCAGTCTTAAAGCTGTCAAGTTTGAAGACCCCTGGACTAGAAGCTGGTTTGATGATTTGATGGGACCATCGGATTCAAAGACTCAGGCAAGACAGAGAACTAGGATACGGGTCTGGCTTTCAGCCTTCCCTCAGAATATGAGCTGAATGAGATGTTGACTGACCAGTTGAAGGCCGATTAATTATGGGGTTGATTAATTTGACTGGGATTCCCCGAAATCATGGAAGTATTATTCCAGATTTGTACTCATAAATGGATCCTACCCACTTTATTCCGTGAGTCCCTACACAGCTAGTTTGAAAATGAGAAGCATCTTCTGAATTATCTATCATCTGATATAAAATGTGGAAGCTAATCTGGTACAAAATTATAGAAGGCATTACCTTCAATAAATTATCAGCACAACCTGGTTTCATGAAATGCCATCAAATCTCTGTTAATATTAGATTATTTGAATGTTAATAATACTGTAATATATTTTTGTTTTTATATCAATATGGTGCAAGCTTTTTTATTTGGAATTAGTTGCAAAGTGGATTTTAATATAATTTCTTGTATAAAACAATATTGTTTTAATCCTTTGAGAGGCTAATAAGATTGTCTCCTATGTAAACACAGGAAATGTGGAACACGCCGATGTTCCCTCTCTTGTTCAATATTTAATTTAGCGTTAGAACCTTTAGTATGTTTAATAACACAGTCTGGGGATATCCAAGGTAATCGTGCTACAGGAATAGATATAATTTGCTACTGTATGCAGAAGGTATGTTTGGCCTTTTATTATCATAGATCTTTACCAAGATTTGTTGAAATGGTGCAGCAGTATTGTTAATTGCTTTTCAAAAACTCCAGTCATTTTTATTTCCAAAAGCGAAGTTTTTGGAATCTCTTCAGCACTATGTAGAGTTCTGGTAGCTATGCTCTGTAACACACGCAAAGGCCTCCTTCTCAGGCTTCCATTGGTGGCATTTTTAGCAGGAGAATGCCTCTTCCTATCCATTAGTCCTGCTAAAGACTTTGGGTACGTATTTTAAACTTTTACTTACCTAGGCCTCAACTCTTTGGAACGTCAAGCTTTCCAGGATTTTCTGGGCCTACAAGAGCCAGTTTGGTGTAACGGTTGAGGCATCAGGCTAGAAACTGGGAGGCTGTGAGTTCGAGTCCCACAAAGGACACAAAGGCACAAAGCCAGTTGGGTACCCTGGGCCAATCATTTTCTCTCAGCCCTCAGGAATGAGGGGCTGAATGGCAAACCTCTTCCAAAGAACCTTGTGAGGGAAACTCCAGACAGGCACCAGGTCAGCACAAAATAACAACAAAAAAACAAGAAACTCAAAGTGCTTTAGGCTCGTGACCACATTTGTCCTTCACAAAATAGCCTGGCAGGAGTCTTTCAGTTAAACAACAATCTTGTATCACAGTGTTTCTTCATAATGGAATTGCTCAAGTTTTGTTTGCTCTTTTTGAACATTAATCCAGTTCTGTAATATTGGGGTTTTTTTAAAAACTAATTTTTATTAAACCAAAACTTGTGTAGTATGCTCAAGTTTATATAAATCTGCTGAGATATTCTTACCTGCCTTTGACATCACAGCCACCCAAATATTGCACATGTATTTTTGGCATTCTTTAGCAGGGAGGAAAGCAAGATGCGATTCTTTACCAGCAAAACTTGCTATGACTGATGGCTTATCTGTAGTATTTCTCCTTAGGCTACCTTGAAGTAAGCAACTTAATTGGCCTGCAATCTTCTACATAGATGTTATTGCGCCCTGGTGAGGAAACTAATCTTAGGTCATGGTATATATTTTCACAAGCAATTCTACACATACTTGAAAAGTGCCAGATGGTGGTTGATCAGATACCATGATGTCCATATAACCCCTTATAATCTTTGGGGCCTCTGGTGCTCTCTGAGCTGGGTTGTTTGCCTCCAGACCTTTCATAACCCAACCAGATAGTATCTTCAGTGCAAGGGTGTGTGGGGTTTGCTCTTGTTTATGTAGTTTGCCCTGTCAGTTGTTGGTGAAGATATGGTTTTCTACTTAGTAATTAAATGATTGGGATATTTTGTTTTCAACTGGATTGTAGCTTGGTGTGAATCCCTGCATCTCGGAGTCATGGAGTGACAGAGAGCCCAAGAAAAATTACTGGGTTTGGATTGCTTCCTGGTATATTATGATTAATCAATCATTTTATCTTATGATTTATGATTGTATTTTTGATTTATGATCTACGACTTATCACTTTGTATGTACACTGAGAGCTTATGCACCAGAGTCTGAATTCTAACTAATGCCCAGGTGAAAGGCGACCAAGAGCCTTCGTGGGGAAAAGCAATCAAATATATATAACTCTTTAATCTTCTCACACACGGACAGACTCAAACCATAGTTTCAACTAGGAAACTGTCAGCATCCCAGACGTAGCTACGTATAGTGCTGGGCAAGAACCAGAGGCTATGGAGATTCTCAGTCGTCCGGGTGATGGTTGTCCCAAAGGTGCTTTTTCAAGAGAAGCTTCTTGGATGAGAAGCGAAAAGTCTTCAAAGAAAAACCAGAAAGACCAGCTGCCTCTTGAAAAAGCAGCTTTGGGACAGAGAGGAGTGGTTTTTTTTTTCCAGCTGGTGGGCTTCCCAGGAGCTTCTGACCCTACAAGAACCGGGCTGGCTAGAGGCACTTCTCAGTCCTTTGGGTCCCCTCAAGAATCCTCAGTGGTGCATTGAAGCCCAGGGCCCACATCAATCCCAGGATTCAAGCCTCAGATGGATACGGCAGACCTCCCCAGGATGCTTGGAGGCATGACCAGCTGATGGCCAAGGGAAGACGGATATTCCCCAGGTTTCGGCCTTCCTGTGGAGCAACAGGCTAATGAACCCATCCAGCCTGAGACAGCCTCCTTCCCACAACCAAAGCCTCCCACCAGAAGAAACCCCTGGGACAATTCAGTCAAAAAGTTGACTGGCAGAGAACAGGCCAATGACCTATTTCCACCACTGGATCTCCATGTGTAGTTTTTCCTCCCAGTGCAGCTGTCTTACCCTCTTGAGGTCCAAAGGACATCAGAACAAGGGGCTTTCAACACAGCAGACACTGCAGCGGGTTCAAAGCTTCCTCCCTCAGCTGCCAAATGAAAGGCAGGTTTGCTCTTCTGAGAAACCACCGAGAAGGCCTCTAGTCTGCGGCTGCCCCCACAAGGGAAAGTTTAGTCAAAAAAGCCCCCCTGGCTGGAGATCTCCCTCGAAAGGCTCCTCTGGGGTTGTAGGTGGGAAAGGCAGAGGAGCCCCCAAAGCTGCCTGGCTCTGGCGGATCAAACGAAGGCCCCCGTCAACCCTCAGGCTGACCCGGGTGAAGCCATCTTGGGGCCTCAGTGCTGCCAGCGGGGAATAGAGAGAGAGAGCTGGGCTGGCGTAGTCAAAATAAAATACTTTCTCTCAGGAACCAAGAAGGCTGCAGTAACTGGGCCACGTGACTGACTGGTTGGGGTTGGGGGGGAAGCGTTTACTTTTTAATTAGGCGAAGACCAAGAGTCGGTTTTCACCAGGTGTGTGCCAAGATGATGCTTCCAATGCAGCTATTCCTTGAGGAATCCTCCTGCCCTCCCGGAGTTCTTGCTTGCTTGCAGTGGGTCTTTTACTTGGAACCCTGACAGCCGGGGGAGCTGAATGCCCGGGGGGGGGGATTCTTGGCTGGCCTGCAGAGCGAGGTCTGATGTGCCTGCACAGCCAGGCTCAGTGGTACCAACCCACTGGGTGAAATCCTCCTCCGCTTTTTCTTGACAAGGAGCCACAAGTTGCTTTGGGATCCAGAGTGATCATTTTATTGGGTCGGCCTTGCTTTCCCTTCGATCCCATCAGTGCACGTGACACAGAACTCCCAAGAGCTCAGCCCCCCCCAACCCCCCCCCAAACCATTCCTTGCCAGCAAGAAAAGAGGATAAATACAGAGAGCGAGAGCTGCTTTCCCCCAGAAGCCTCGGGGAGGGGAGGGGAGTTTGGGCGCAGGCGACAGGATGGGGGAGAAACACAGAGCCCAGGAGACTGAGCAGGGGAGGGGAGGGCCCTCTTCTGCCCAGCAAGGCCCTTCCGAGACAGGCCAAGGAGGGCAACACGATAGCTTGGCTCATGCTGGGAAGAAGGTAGGTTGGCCACCTAGGGCCAACCCCGGCTAGGTGATAAACCTTAAAATATGCTAAAATACCTCAGTTGCTACAAAAAGCTGCCCCAGGGTTAAGAGAGCCCCGGTGCTTTGGGAAGACCCACCCGCTGCTTGGCAGCCGGGGCAGAGAGCGGGGGGGTGGAGGAAGCGGCGGCGGCGGCAGCAGAGGCCTGGCCGAAGGGCTCATCGTCCCGCAGAGGCTGGGGCCAGGAAGGAGGGCAGGAGCCGACCAAGCCGAGTGGCACGGTCTCTTGCTGAAGAGCCCAAATCCAGATGTGGGGACTTAGCAATGAACACCTACCTGCCCTGCTCTCACCTGCACAGGTCCCCAATCTGGCTCTGCCACACTTACACTTTTTCCCCAGCCCGGTCCTGGGTCCAGGAGTGAGCTGGGCTTCGAAGTGGCTACTACGCTCCCAAACCTAAAGCTGAGGCCCACTGCTCTGCCCGAGGGGCGGGGAGAGGGCAGCCAGAGAGAGAAGGGAACAAGGCCCTCCCTCCACAGCTGCCAGCTCATCCACAGCTCCTGATGGAGACGTTAGCCGGGTGCCTGACCTCCCTGGCCTGGAGGCCCCACAAGGGGGAGATGGCCGGGGCTCTGCCAGGGAAAGTCAAGCCCACTGCCTGCCTGGGGTAAAAAAAAACCCGGGAGTTGTAGGCCGGTTACCTTAAGTTAAAGTAGGAGGTCTGGAGAGGCCTGGAGAGATCCTGCATCTCCTGGAAATGCTTCTCCAAGACCTCCAGGGCCCATAGACACCCCAAGTTCCCTTTTGACTCGGAGGAGCACAGCCTTGGCTTCCTCCCAATTTCCAAGTTCTCCAGAGCTCCCGGCTGCACCAGAGTGAGCCAAAGACCTTCCTCCACCACAGACCAGGGAGAGGGTTCGTCTCAAAAGTTGTGGGTGCCGGGGGACGTGAGGGGAAACGCCCCGGCCAAAGGTGGTGTGTGGGTGCTGGGAGCTGCTTGCTTCTCACGCAGGAAGCCCCTCCTGGGAGGAGGTAGGTAGGCAGCCAGCACGGACCTTGGCAACTGGACTCTGCCGCTGCCCGGCTCTCCCCCGCAGGTCCGCCTGAGCTCTCCTTGCTCTTCCCCTTCGCCTGCCTAGATGACGTGGCAACAGTTGAACTGCCCCAAGGACAGCAGGCTCTCCCTGGAGCTGGGCTGCATCCGGAAGGCCAGGGCCTTTTCGCAGAGCGGGAACTGCAGGAGCCGATCCTTCAGGTTAGCGTTCTTGCCTTTGGCCGGGTCCAGCTTGATGATGCTGTCCGCGAGGCTGTCATGGCCGCTGCCGTTGCTCTGGCCATCGCAGCAGGCCTTGGCCCCGTGGGGCGGCCCCAGCTCAAGGCCCCTGGCCTCCACCCCTGGCCCCACCTCGGCTCCAGTGGTTCCTGGGGCACAGCCACCCTGCAGGAGAGCCGTGCTGCTCTGGGGCTGGGGGCTCTCCTCCCCAGCCCCCGAGAGTTCCCCCTCGACAGGATCTCCTCCTCTCGCTGGAAGTAGGTCGCTCTGCTCCTCTTCCTCTGCCAGGAGGGGCTCAATTTGGCCCAGTGCCACCTCTGGTCTGGCAGGGCCCCCTCCATGGCTGCCTAGTGGGGTGGCTTCCCCTGGGGGCTCAGCAGGCCTCCTCCCCGATTGCAAGCCGAGGCGGCCACCCGGCTCCTCTGTCTGGGGGGCTCGGCCTGCCCCTGACTGGCTGCTGGGAGACGCCTGCTCCACTGGAGCTGCTGGAGCCGTCCCAGGCCCTTGTTCCGGGCAGGAGGACTTGGCGTGTGAAGGGAGGAGGCTCTTGCCCACTTTGTAGTGGGCTGCAAGGGCCCGGCAGAAAAGCAGGGATGATGCGGTGCTCTGGAAGCGGCTCATCTGCTCTTGGTTCAAGGAGGAGGTCCGCCTTCGAGAGAGGCCTGGCTTCCCTTCTGCCTCTTCCTCCTCCTCCTCCTCCTCCTCTGAAATCTGCTGCAGGGCCAGGGTGCTCTTGGCGATGCCTGTCTCCATGAGGGAGGGCTGGATGAGGGCCCGCAGAGGCTGCCCGCATCCATGGAAGCTGGAAGAGGACCTGCCCTCGCCTGAGGCCGAGCGGGACAGGAGAGGCTTCCTGGCGTACTCCGCAGCGATGTTCTCCAGGGTGCTCTTGGTGGCTGGGGGCAGCTCTGTGGGCTGAGGGAGGCGGGACTCGCCTGGCGGGCTCCTGAGGAAGAAGGAGGAGCAAAGAGTGTGAGCAGGTGTGGATCCCCCCGGCTGGCCGAGACCAAGGCTTGAAGGGCCGAGGGGGGCTTGCCTGCTCTGGAGCTGCTCCGCCAGGCTCTGCTTCTCGTGCTTCTCGCGCAGAATCCGTTCAGCCAGCAGAAAGTAGGTGGCAGTGACGTGATTGTAGCGCTTGGCCTCCAGGGCTCTGCAGGGAGAAAGAGTCAGGCATGGACACAGGAAGAGACTCCCGAGGCTCTGCTCGCTTTCGGGCCTGCCCAGTAACTGACCGATTGCCCTCAACCAGCTGCTTACCAGAATGCCCCGGCGCTCAATGCCTCAACAACACAAACTAAGTTAAGAACCTCTTCAGTGAACAAAAGTCTGTTTCTACATGCAGCTTGGCCCATAAAGTCCAGCTGCCTGAATTATGGGCTTGAAACACACCTGGAACACCAACCAGCCTCACCTTGGGTACAGGTGCGTGCTTGATGACAGATAACTGGATGCGGGAGACCGAACATCTTCACTTATTCTGCGGCTCTGTCCAACCTACTCACATTCAGGAACCTGACAGTTTTGGGACTGGTTCTCTGGTTGCAGGCCACAGTGATGGGATCACAGATTTGGGCAAGCTGTGTGCCATGTTTGACCCAGGAATGGGGAACCCATGGCTGTCTAGAAGCTGCTGAGCATGGCATGCCATTAGCCAGGGAGGTTGGGCTCCTGGCTCCTATAGTTCACCAACACCTTACATGGCTGCAGATTCACTTTTTTCTCTATAGGCAAATGGGAATGTAAGCTTTACCTAACCAGGTAGTCCTTGCTTAACAACAATAACGGGGACTGGAATTTCTATCACCAAGCAATGTCGTTGTGAAGCATGAGGTCATGTGACCACATTGCTTATGGGAATCCTGCAGTCTCTGTTGCTGCCATTAAGCAAGGATCAGGGCTGGCATGAATGTGTGTTGTCACCAGGGTGGGGGGGTTATTCTTGTTATTTATTTTATATTGTGTTTTTATGTCCTGTAAGCCACCTTGAGTGGCCATCTGTAAGTAGGCAACAATATACATTTTCTAAATAAATAAAAACCATGGGTTGTTAAGTGAGAACCTCATGTGACTACCAGGTACTTGCAACTTCCAGCCAACTTTCCACAGAGTCATTGGGGAAGCCTGTGGGGAGTTACAAGTCCTGGTGGCTTGCAAGCATGCTGTAGGGTGAGTGAGTACTGTAGAGTGAGGCACGCAGTCTGGGGAGAGATTCCACTGCAGGAGTACATGCATGGATTCTCCAGGATCTTGCATTCTGTAGCACAACTCCTCAGGGGGGAAAAACAGTGGGAGCAACTTGCAATTTTCTCTGCCAACTTCCCATTGATTTTGCTTGTGGGAAGCTGGCAGAGAATGTCATAAATGGCAGTCACGTGAATGCAGGGATGCTGGGACAGCTAGAATTTCTAGAACTGGTCTTAAGTATCACCTGTTCAGCACCATTGTAACTTCAAATGGTCATTGAATGAGTGGTAATTAACCAAGGATTACCTGTTTATGTCCATTTCAAAACTACAATTGACGTTTCACAGTCAGAAGCCACTTTTGGCCTTCGAGCATTAAGGAGGCCTCCAAACATCTACCTGATCATTTCAGCCAGCAAAGCTCTCCCGTGGTGCCTGTGCCCAAATCACATTCCCCTTGCACAGCCTTCCTGAACCAACCAGAGTGATTTGTGCCAATGCCCACCCCGGACCCTCACTCACTCCTGGATGGTTTCTCGGTCTGCAATGTGGCCGCACATCATGGTCTGGATGATGATCTCGTGCTCCTCCTCCAAAACCCTCCGGTGTGACGTCAGCGGCAGAAGAGAATGGCTGGCTGGGGAGGGGTCCACCCCCTGGAGCCACGGGTGGTTTTCAATTAGCTCCAAGGAGGCCCTTTGCTTGGGGTCCCGCTGCAGCATCTGGGCAATAAGGCTGGGCAAAGAAGAAGGAGAGTGACTCAGCCGCTGCCCCGCCAGGCCCTGCTCTCCCCCCTCCCAATCCACGTCTCTTCAGAAACCCCAAGCAGAAGGCAGAGCCCAGGCAAAAGGGGACCCTAGAAAGGCACCGCAACAGGGGGAGCCCCCTCCTTATTGGCTCAGCACAAACCCTGCGTGGCTCGGAAGTCTCCCAGGGAAGGCAGAAGAGCCACCAGCAGACCGCTCATCCAGGCACAGATCTGTTCCCCTCGACCATTGAGCGATTAGGCCAGAGCAATAACTGGAAGAGGCCAAAGCCCAGACTCTGTGGCTGAACGGTCACCTTGTGAGTTCTGGTCCAACTTGAGAGGGCCTCCTCCCACGGGGAAAGAGGAGCAGCGGGGAGGGCAAAAAGAAAGATAGGTAAGGCGCTATATTGCCAAGCCATCCTTCCCTCCAAGTGCTCAAGGGTGAAAAGAAAGGGGTGCCAACTGCGTCCTTTCCTGTATCAGGGAGGACCCTTCAGACACACTAGCCACCTCACAGCTTGACTACTGCAACACGCTCTATCTAAGGCTGCCCTTGAAGAACACCTGGAAGCGTCAACTGGTCCAGAATGCAGCAGCACAGGCATGCCTCCGTATTCCTATCTCTCTATCTATTTATGTACTTACTTATTGGATATGTGCCACCCGCCTCATCTAGACCTATGCCTACATAACTCCTTTTCTGTGAAGCTGCACCACTGGTGAGCTTGCTTCTAGGTGCAATTCAAGGTGCTAGTCGTTACTCTCAAAGCCCTACCTGGCAAAGGGCCTGGTTACTTACTGCCCATCTCCCGTAGTATCTTCCTGGCTGACTTGAGCCTGCAGAGCAGGCACCTGTCAGGTTCCTTCACCTTACCTCTTGGGACTCTGTGAGTGTCCCTTCTCTGTCCCAGTGCCTGCCCTCCAGGATGAGTCCTGCCGCCCGTGATCTGGATACCCTCCCTCCCCGTCTGCTCTAGTTACGAGGTATCGCGAAGACCCCCCTCTTCCCCAAGTCCCCTGGCCTTGTCCCATTTGGTCTGCCCTGCTTGCCCTCTTCCCCCCCCCCTGCCTTTTAATTGGGATTATTGTTATTTCTTTGATTGTTGTGAATCACCCAAAGTGGTTGGGAGGCATAGAAATGTGGCAATAATTCAACAGCACCGTGGGGGGGGTGGTTTCCTGCTGACCCTTGCCCACACGTCTCTATGCTGTGAGCCAAATAGGCAGGGAGGTTGAGGCTGCTTCTTAAGGAAAAAGGCACGGACAAAGAGGGAGGAAATGAGGAGGGGCCTCCTACTCTGCACACAGGAGGGAGATGCCTGATGGTATCACATAGCGACAGTCCAGGATCATGGTCAGGGTCTCGCTGTCGTTGGCCTCCTGGAAAGGGGGATGTCCACAGACCAGCATGTAAAGGATGACACCCAAGCTCCAGATATCTAAGAGAGAAGAAAAAGAGGAAACTGGGCTGAACAGGAGCCCCCCTCCCCAACCTCTGGGCTCAGCCCTCCAACATGTCTCTCTTCTTCCCTTTCACAGCTCCCTGCTGCAGAAGGACCCCGTTGCCCTAAAGTCGTCAAATCAAATCCACTTATTCCACTGACTTCAAATGCAAACTCTGTTCTGCAGGGGACTCAAGGCTGATGTCCTATTTGTATGCCAGTCAAATACTCCAGACCAGGGGTCTCCAACCTTAGCAACTTTAAGACTTGTGGGCTTCAACTCCCAGAATTCTGGGAGTTGAAATCCACAAGTCTTAAAATGCCAAGGTTGGAGACCCCTGCTCCAAACCACCAATATTACCACCAATATTATGAAGGGCTTAACAGCGTGGGATAGAAATGTGTTATGAACTATTGAGGGGCTGAAGAAAGCCTTGAGATTAGGAACCTGTAACTCAGTAGCTGGGCACCTTTTTGAAATATCAAGAGAAGCAGATTTTATAAACCCTTCCTCATGGCAGAGAAAGCTAATGTAGAAAAGAAGTCAAAAGAAGTGAGAATTCCTAAAAAGAATTTAGGAATCACTTTCAGTTGTAAGAATGTAACAACGAAAGAAAATGGAAGAATTGGAAATGAAAATGTAAGGAAACAGATAGCTAAATCACCAAGTAAAAAGACGTGTAGTTACCTTGGAAGTGTAGAAAACAAAGGTGTAGAATGAATTGAAGGTGGGCAAATCATAGTAAAAATAACAAAGAGAATTTCTTTAGATACCTTCAAATGAAACAAGAAACAGTATCAGCTGTTCAAATGAAAAAGACAAAATGCTAGCAAGTAATGGAAACAGAGCTACTCAAATTCTATTTTGGTTCGGTTTTCAGGCTATTATAAGAAGCAGCTGAGGTCACAGCTAAAGCTTGAAATATGGTCAGGATAAATTTCTTTGCTTTGAAAGACAGACACAACAATTGTTGTGTTTCCACAGACACAACAATTGCACATTGAAACAAAAGTCAAATGTAAAGGTGTAAGATGGTGATACATGAAAAAAAAAGTGTATGGCTGGATTGCAAATGGAACATAAGCCATTACAATGACATCATTTGGGGCTGCTGCATTAATATGGCTTCCAAATCACAGTTAAGCATCTGTCCCACTTGCTTTGGTTTTAGTCAGACTCACCTGACTAAATAGAACAAATGGTACCTGGCTGAACAATAGCAACTCTGAGAGGGATCTAGGAGTCCTAGTGGAGCCAGTCGTGTGCTGCAACTGCCAAAAAGGCCAATGCAGTCCTGGGATGCATCAACAAGGGTATCAAGAGCACATGAAGTGTAAGTATTTCTTTACACTGCACTAGTGAGGCCACAATTCTGGTCACCATGATGCAAAAAATGAAAGAATGCAGAGAAGAGCAACAAAGATGATAAGGGATCTGGAGGCTAAACCATACGATGAATGGTTAAGGGAGCTAGGTATCGAGCATTGGGGTTGGGGTGACAGGATAAAAGTCTCCCAGTACAGAGAAGAGTTGTTCTCCAAAGCACCGGAAAGGCAGGACAAGGAGTGGCTGGGGGAAGATCATTAAAGAGATCCAACCCGGATGTCAGGAGAAATTCACTGGCTGTGAGAATGGGATGGCTGGTCTCCTGGAGTTCTGGGTTCTTCAACACGGGAGGTTTTAAGAAAGGATTGGACAGCCCTTTGTCTAAAATGGCCTAAGTTCTCTTGCTGGTTGGACTAGGCGGCCTCCAGGGTCTCTTCCAGCCCTGGGATTCTATGCTCAGCTTCAAGCACCGGACACTCTCAGAGGACTCGGCGGCAGGGAGAAGGGCCAGTTCTCAGTTGCAACACCATCCCATGAAAAGAGTTTGAAGGAGATGATTTTGCTGAGGCTCAACAACCAAAGACCCAGTTCCACACTGGAATCATGTAGTGTCTTCTCAATTTCAGTTAAGGAATCAAATGGATCCATCCATTTGGCTGATCTGGGTGAGGATTCCAATTTTGTAAAAATGTTCCAATTTTAATTCAGAAAATTTACCAGATACAGCAGATACAGGATGGCTAAAGATGACACTTTGTAAGCTTTTCTAGAATATCAATTTTAAAAAATGGGATTAACACAGGAAATAGCTTTATCATCTTATCTAAAAAGACATCAAATTATCTCTTCTTCCAATATTGGATTTTTTATCTATAAACAAATCCATAAAGCATCATCATTTCAGTTCTGCTGGTTTCATTAAAAATTACTAGAAATAACATATTTATGTCAACCTTGATCAAATAATCCACTATTATATTCCTTCCTTCCACTTCTAACAATCTTTAGTCAATTAAACTAATATTGTAGAACTTGATTTCTTTTTTCTTTTTCTCCCTTCTCACAAAATTCTTCAACGCTTTAAACAATCTTCTTTTGTAACTCCAATGTAGGAAAATTATCCAGGTCATGTTCTTGGTTTGTTATTTATAAATCCATTTTAATTAATTGTTAACTCATCAGCCAGCTTCTTTTGTATGTCCAATGTAACATCTTTTTCCATGTCATATTAAAGGATATTTCTGAATGATGGATTCATAAATTATCTGTAATAGCCTCAACAGAGCCATCTGCTTCTATGGAGAGACTATCTAAAAGATGTTACGGAAAAGGAACAGGATCTGACTGACAAGATTGAGACAGGGTTGAAAGGGGATTTACAAATGACAGGCTACAAGAATGACCTGGGAAAGGTATTTATCTGCCAAGGAATTATGTCTGTTCCACCTTGGGGAAAAAATCACCTGGAATAACATTTGTTCTCTAGTTAATCCCTCAACTATCCAGGTTGATTGATCAAATGTACATGTTGTCAAACCCTTCAAGGCTCCCAGCATCTCACAGGGATAACACCCATGGTAAACTCCAAACTCCCCCCCCCACACAAAAAATATGGGAACTAAACTAATACAGCAGAGTTGTTAGTGGCAACCCCCTCCTCCTCCACAGGTGCTCCTTTTCACCATTTCCAGGAGCTCCCCAGGCAACGGGCCAGTCTCTGCCTAAAATAGGGATGGTGCAGGTAGTGTGTGGTTTTCTTGCACCAGGGAGTTTTTAAAACCTCTTTGTGTGAAGTCTCTAGTCTCCCATTTTTTCTCTGGATCGCTAGAGAAGAAAATCTGCCAACAGATCCTGCGACCAAGGGCTGATAAAAGGGATCGCTCTGACACAAATGCGATAAAGCATCTCCTTGTTCATGGTCAGAGAACGGACCTAAGAGAAACAGGAAAGGGAGGCAGGAGTCGTCATGGGCCACCATGGAAGGGACTGGGGAAGATGACATTAAACAGACTTTAGCCATTAGAAACTTCTAGTCCTCTTAAGAGGTTTAGAAAGGAACGGCTGGCTGCTCTGTCCTGCTTCTCCCTAAGTAGTTCCCGCTGAACAGCAGCAACCCAAAGAAATTCCTGGATTCCATCCGGGCCCAGATGGACCACCATTGCTGTGGCAGGGGCACCAGGGCTATCCACCGGTCAGGCAGCCCAGCCCTCCCGCACAGGGTCAAAGGCGGCTTTAGGCCTCTGGAACTTCTCTGGCTCCCTCCGAGTGTTGCTTGTGGGTCATGTCAGCCAGGAGCCAAGAGACATTCGAGCCGGAGACGATGGCCAGAGTTCCCCGGAGCCTCGGCGGCCCAAGGTCAAGACGGGCCTGGCAGCCGGAGCACCCAGCACCCCCGTTCCCCGCGGGAGCAGCGACATCCTGCCAGGCCTCGGCTGGGCCGGGCCTGCTGCAGGCTTCGCGCTGCCTCCCCTCCTTGGCGCGGCCGAAAGGCCTAGGGCTCTTCTTACCCACGGCGGGGGCGTCATACTCCTCGCCCAGCAGGATCTCAGGGGCCGAGTAGGCGAGGGAGCCGCAACTGGTGGCCAGCATGGTGCCCGGCTGGAAGCAGCTGCTGAAGCCGAAGTCGGTGAGCTTGACCACCCCTTGGTGCTGGAAGAAGAGCACGTTCTCGGGCTTGAGGTCGCGGTGCACGACGTGCAGGCGGTGGCAGTAGGCGATGGCGTGCACCACCTGGGCGAAGTAGCCCTTGGCCCGCGCCTCCTCCAGCCCGCCCGGCCGCCGCGTCAGCAGGTCGAAGAGGTCCCCGCCGTCGCCCAGCTCCAGCACCAGGTAGAGCCGGGCCGGCGTCTCCAGCACCTGGTAGAGCCGCACCACGTTGGGGTGCTGCACCAGCTTCATGCAGCCCACCTCCCGCCGCAGCCGCGCCGCCGCCGCGGCGCCCAGCCGGCTCTTCTCGATCACCTTGACGGCCACGCGCTCGCCCGTGAAGACGTGCCGGGCCAGCCGCACCTCGGCGAAGTGGCCCCTGCCCAGCCGCCGGCCCAGGTCGTAGAGCCCCGCCATCTGCCCCTCCATCGCTCGGGCCCGCGCGGCGCCGCCAGGCCCGGGCCCGCCGCTCTCGGCCACCGCTTCGGCGCGGGCCTACCGGCTGGGCAGCGCTGCTCCGGCGAGCGGCGACTCGGGCTCGGGCGGCGGCGAGGCCGGAGCAGGCGGCGCTTCTCCCGGGGCAGGACGGAAGGCGGGCGGGCGCAGGATCGGCTCCGCCGGAAAATCTCCCCCGCGAGCACGGAGCGGCTTCTCGTGACCCGGAGCGCTCCTCCCGGGCATTTAAAGGAACATTTCCCGGCTGCTCTTCCGCGCCGCTCCGAGCGAGAAGCTCCAGGCGCTCGTTTCGGACCGAGGACGCGCTGCCTTACCAACGGCTCACTCCCCGTCTCTGGCCCATTGGGGGAGCCTTTCCCCGAAGGCGGCCGGGACCCGGGGGCTTTTTCAATCCGTCCGTCCCTCCTTTCCGGAATGGAGAACCGGAGGCTCTTCGGTCTGTGCCCCAGAGGGAACTTGGCCTGGTGGCTCTTGCACGTCCCGGCTGAGTCTGACAGCTCGTTTTACATATATTTCATTTCATTCTAATAAGGTCCCCAAGAGGGATCCCAGCCACCACCTAGCAGGGTCCTGATCTTTGGCCACCCCCTCGGCTCTCCTCCTGCAGTCTAGAGGGAAGGAACCGTCTGGGCTTTGAGAAGCCAGGCTGAAGACCGTCAAGCGTGGTGCCACAAGCCTCCCAACTCTTCCGTGACTTGAACAAAAATGCACCGGTGATACTCCCAAAATCTTCAGGTTATAAAAAATGAAAATAGCGACTTCCCTAGAAGAAATACAATTCTGAATGATCAAGATTGAATGGAGCAATAGGCATGAATGAATGAAATTTAATAGTGCAAATCACCTCACTTAAGGAATAAATGTCAAACACACAGTGAGAAATGTCTGCCTCCCTAATGATATTTGGGAAAATATGTTAGTTGATGGTAAACTGAAGTTGTGGTTTAAAAAAAGAGAAAATGCAAGTTCAGGCTGCCTCAACAGAAATATAAACTCCAAAATCACTCAAAGGATTCACCTCATCTCTAGCAAATCCATTTGGGAGGCTTTAAGAAGCATTCAAGACGCTGGGATACTAGGTTTATTAAGAAGCAAAAAAATATCAGATCATCTGAAATTAAATTTGGTAGTGAGAGGTGGAAAGAATAGGGAAAAATTTGCCTTGCAGACTGGGAGGGGTAGCGTGGCTTTTTTCAGACACCCACAGGATTTATTCATGTACTTCTTTCAGCCCAGGGTGGAGGCAAGGCTGAGTAGATTAGGTATAGTGAGCCAGATGCCAAAGGAATGTTGGAAATGGCTCCAAAGTGTAAGAGCCCTTGAGAAGTGGAGCCGATTACCCAGAGACAGCTCTGCAGGAAACCCGCCCCACCCCCTTGCTTAGCTCAGAATGACCCAGCCCAGGGAGGTGGTCTAGTACGGTCTGTTGGTAACATTTTAATTCCAACATGTGGATAACAGAGTAAGAAGGGACCTTGGAGGTCTTCTAGTCCAACCCCCTGCTCAGGCAGGAAGCCCTATACCATTTCAGAGAAATGGTTATCCTACATCTTCTTAAAAACTTCCAGTGTTGGAGCATTCACAACTTCTGGAGGGAAGTTGTTCCTCTGATTAATTGCTGTCAGGAAATTTCTCCTTGGTTCTAGGTTGCTTCTCTCCCTGATTAGTTTCCACCCATTGCTTCTTGTCCTGCCCTCAGGTGCTTTGGAGGATAGCTTGACTCCCTCTTCTCTGTGGCAGCCTCTCAAATATATTGGAAGACTGCTATCATGTCCCTCCAGTCCTTTTTCATTAAACTAGAATTAAACCCAATTCCATCAACAGTTCTAGTCCCCTAATCATCTTTGTTGCTCTTCTCTGCATTCTTTTCTAGTCTCAACAACTTTTTCATATTGTGGCGATCAAAACTGGATGCAGTATTCCAAGTGTGGCCTTACGAAGGCACTATAAGGTAGTATTAACACTTGTGATCTTGATTCTGTTCCTCTGTTAATGCAGCCTAGGATTGTGTTGGCTTTTGGCAACTGCAGCACACGGCTGGCTCATACTTTCAAGTGACTGTCCACTAAGACTCCAAGATCCCTCTCACAATTACTATTATTGAGCCAGGTACCACCTATACTATACCTATGCATTTGGTTTTTCTTGACTAAATGTAGAATCTTACTTTCTCCCCCACACTGAATTTCATTTTGTTAGTGCCCAATGTTCAAGTCTGTCAAGATCTTGCTGTATCTTAAGCCTGTCTTCTGGAGTGTTGGCTATTCCTGCCAACTTGCTGCCATCTGCAAATTTGATGTTCTCATCCAAATCATTGATGAAAATGTTGAAGAATATTGGACCTAAGATGCAGTTTCATTGAGGGCTACACATTGAGTGCAGCTGGTCAACCAGTTAGGAATCCATCTGGTGGTGATGCTTTTAATTCACATTTTGCTATCTTATGTAGCAAGTTGTGGTCTACTTTGTCAAATCCCTTACTGAAGTCCAAGTAAACTACATCCACAGCATTCTTCTGGTCCACTAATTTTGTCACTTTGTCAAATAATGCAATAAGACTTCTCTGGCATGATATGTTTTTGACAAACCCATGTTGGCTTTTGGTGACTTTGTTTGCCTCTAGGTCAGGGGTCAAACTGATGACCTGTGGGCCAGATACACAGGCCACACCCATCCCAGCTCCACAAAGGGGAAAAAAAACATCATAAAACATCATAATGGCAACATGACACAAGTTTGACACCTGTGCTCTTGGTGTTCGCTGATTCATTGCTTATTTTTTTTCCCAGAATCTTCCCAAGTATTGAGATCAGGGTGATAGGTCTATAGTTTCCTGGATCTCCCCCCCACTTTTTTTTTTTTTTTTTGAAGATGGGAAGTACACCAGCTCTTTTCCAATCCTCTGGTAGTTCCCTGGGTCTCCAGAATCTTTGAAAGATCTAGTTCAGTGGTTCTGAGATCATGTCTGCCAGTTCCTTCAGAACCTTGGGATGTAATCCATCTGGTCCTGGTGAATTGAACTCATCTAGGGTAGACAGCTGCTCACCATTTTCCTCCCTGTTTTAACAAGTATTCCTAATCTCTTTTTTACAGCTTTTTTTATCGCTTTTTTATCGCTTTTGATAGGTTGGACTGTTTTTTTCCTTTTATGTAAAGACAGGTGAAAACCCCCGAGTTAAGCAGTTCTGCTTTCTCCCTGTTGCTTGTCACTTTCTTGCCACTTTCTTCCATTAATGGACCAATCATTTTCTTGACTTTTTTCTTGTTTTTTACATGTTGAGAGAAGCTTTTTTGAGGTTATTTTTTACTTTTTTCGCAAGACTTAGTTCATTTTGAGCCTTAGCTTTCCTCACTTCATCTTTGCAGGCTCGGGCTATTTGCTGATATTCTGACTTTTTTTACAGTATGTTGCCCACTTGTTATACTTGTCTGTTTTGTTTTTCTATTTATCAGAAAGTTCTTTATGCAGCCATGCTGGTTTCTTTTGAGAGCTGTTATTCTCCTTCATTGGATAAGGGGTTGCACCCAAAGTGGGGTTTTCTGATTCTAGGGACAGAGACTTAAGCTAAAGAAAACGGATTTCATCCCCCAACGCCCCCAAACAATTCACAGTACTCCATGGGTTGTACAAAAGATCCTTGTAACGACCGCCAAATAGAGATCAACCTTGAAGTCTTTCCCTGGAGCAGGAAGGCAGGCAAAGAGACTCGCTGGACGCCGCAGCTTCTCTCTTCGGAAGGAAACTTTTGATCAGGGTCAACAACATTAGTTTCATTTCTGGCGTCAGTTTCCCACCCCCGCATTAGGTGTTTTTTTTTTGGGGGGGGGGGGGGGGGGGAGACGCATGCTAACCGTGCCTCTTAATGGCTGTTTGGGAGCTTCTGGTTTCCTGGAATCGCCTTTCCACGATGCCCTTCACTGAATGTCAGCAGGGCCAGAACATCCGAGCGGCGCTTCGTTGGCAGATTAAAAAGCTTTCAGCGCAAATGCAGCGCGTGGGCGGGAGCCGCCTTCTCTCAGCGGCGGAGCTAATGGCTTCCCTTCCGCTCAGCTGAGCGGCGACCCTGTTTACCGGCTCCCGCTTCTGAGGCAAACAAGCGCAGGCATCGCGCTCTCGGGCTGCAGGCCCGGCTGAGTTCACTCGTCAACCACGGTTCACCTTGGCAACAACCCCCGCTGACCCCCCCCCAGGAACCACGCAAAGCAAACCCACCAAGGCCGCCTTCACTTGGGCGGCCTTTCTCGGCCTGAGGAGCCTTAAGATCGGTGGACTGCAACTCCCAGAATTCTCCAGCCAGGCGGCCTTTCTTAAGGCCCCCCGAGTCGAGGGAGCCCGGCCGGGCTCTTTCGGAACTCAAGCCCGCTCCGCCCCCTTCCCGCAGTGCGGCGTCCCAGGGAGCGGAGGGGCGCCCGGCCTTCCCCGCTCGCCTCGCTTGCTTTCTCCGCCGGGCCCAGGAGCCAATCAGCGGAGGTGGGGGGCGCCATCTTCCGCTCTCTGGCGCGGGAGGCCGTTCGGGGCCTTTCCCTGTCCCCCCCCCCCGCCCCCGTCTGCCCCCAGCCAGCAGGCCGCGTCCCCTCCGCCCGCCGCGTTTTCCCAGAAAGGCCCCGCAGCGCCCATTAGCGCCTTGATTGGGCGGGGGCGGCGAGAGGCGCTTCTCAGAATCGCCCCTCCGGCCCGGCTGCTCCCAGCAACCGCGGCTCCACGCCGGGCGCTTCTTGCGGGATGCCGCTAAGCGAAGAGCCGCTCGGAGCCCGGTCGGCTGCAGGCCTCCCCCGGCCCGTCGGTCGGCCAAAAGTTGGAGCCGGTCTAAGCCCGTCCAACCCCTGGCCCTCTCGGCCGCCCGGGAAGCTCCTTGGCCCGCCGCCCAGGCCGTCCTTTCCCGGGCTCCGGAGAGGAAGGAGCGCGCCCGGCGACGTGGAAGCGTGTGAATCGGGCCGGCTCAGAGGGAAGCTGCCTCCGCGCAAGTGGGGCTCAACGCCCCGGGGCCCTTTCGGAGCCGGGCTGGCTGCGAGCAGTTGGA